GAAGGAGGGGGGTAGCTGGTTTTGAATTTTTTTTTCTTTATTAGAACTGGACTGGACTGCACTGGATGATATCGTGGGTTGGTTGGTTGGTTGGTTGGTTGGTAGGTAGGTAGCGTAGGTGGGTGGTATAATAGTGATAGTGATGGTAAGGATTGTGGTGATGATGGGGGTTCATGGGGTTCATGGGGTTTGTGGGTTGTGGAGTTTGTGAGTAAGTATGTGGGTGAGTGTGTGGGTGTGTGAGTGTGTGTGAGAGCCTGAGGGAGAGAGGGAAGGAGGGAGGGGAGAAGGGGAGAAGGGGAGAAGTGGAGGACGGGATAGGTAGGTAGGTAGGATGATGATGATGATGGGTGGGAGTTGGAGGAGAGTTAGAGTGGTTTCCGGGGTTTTGGGGTTGGGAGGTTTGGGGGTTAGGTATAGTAGTATTATAGTCAGGATTGGTTTTATGGCTGTAGGTGGAGTGTGCAACGTACTGATGCGATTCAATAGAAAGAGACGCGGTTTCTACTATAGGACCTGAAGAGGGGGAGGGGAAGATGTAATATATAATCTTTTAAGTCTTACTATAATATTAACATCTATACCTATTATCTATATCCTACTCTACTCTACTCTACTATATATCTACATCTAAACTATAATCTACAAATGTAACCTTCATACTATAACACCCTTCTTCCTAGAAATATAGCTATAGCTACTACAAGCCTGGAACGGAGGATATCCCAAGTTATGAAATTAAGGAATTGGGAAATGGGAGATGGGAATGTTTAGTAATACGCGTTACTAGGTAGGAAAGTAGTTGAGGTATTATAATGAGAAAGATAGGGTAAGGTTAGGATGGAGTAGAGTGAATTTTAGAGACTAGGGGAGGTGGAGGGGGAGGGGGAAGGGGATGTTTGATGGGGATATACTTGAGATGAGGAATTTTTTATCCTTGGGTAGATGGGATTTTTGAAGAGTATAAGTTTATGGAATGATTTAAAGGATAAGAATAAGAAGGGTTTGAAATGAGGACTTTGAATGGCATGTACAAGGATATATCTTTTTATCTTTGTAGGTAATGGGGTATAGTATTACAGCGTGGATTAGTTTATTTATAATTACTCCGTAACTCTATAGGAACTAGTAATAGTTAGTGCACTTCCTATTACGCTATTACTTATAGTTAGCGGAAGCAAGTAAGACGCGGAAGCAAGTAAGAGGTTAGGATAGCGTTTCTTCGGGATATTAAATTACTATAGAAACTAAACTATACTAAAAATTATATATAAATATAACTAAATCCTAACTAAAAACTACTTGAAGGGTAAAAAGTCTATATTCTACTTAATTAAGTCTTTTAAATTAATACTATTCTAATCTAATATATCTAAATCCTTACTATTACTATTCGTAGGTTTAGAAGAAGATAAAGTAGAGTCTAATAAGATAGAGTTAATTTGATTATTAATAAATATACTAATCTTAGCGTTATTATTCTCTTTGTGACGGTTATGGTCGCGAGGGCTGGATGTCACATGCTCGCTTAGCGAGGCGCTAGCGCGCACGACCTGTATTTAGTTCCCAGCTCTCTCGAGCTCTCCTTCTTTCCTCGTCTTTTGTCCTAAGAATAGAGTGTTAATTGTTCTGAGTTCTACCTGAAGCACGTCTGTCACATTACAAAAGACCCTTAGTTGAGGCTAAGTATCCCAGGTCTAAGTTCACGTTCACGTCCAAGTTCAGGTCCACGATCTTACGTCTCAATTCTCACGATTTCTACCACTTTCTTGTGCGCAAGAACCCTACACTTTACAACACGACGAAACCTCTTCTTTTTTCGACTTCTCTACAATGGATGCCCTTCAAGTTCAGTCCGCCATCGCTGAGTTGCAAGCTGAAGTCCAGCGACAGCGCGACGAGATTCACTTACTCCGGTCAAGAACATCCGCAAAGCCTAAACCTTCCCTCCCAGACCCTGACAAATTCACTGGCCAGGCTCATAAATTCGACACCTGGCTTCCCTCAATCAAAGCAAAGCTACGAGTCGACGGTACAGCTATTGGAGACGCTATTGCGCAGTTCTACTACGTCTACCTCAACCTTGACTCCCACGTCCAAGCCATGGTCCTTCCACAGCTCTCTCAAGCAGAAGACACCCAAAGCTGGGACTACCAAACAATCCTCGAACAGCTCGCGCGCGTGTACGACAATCCAAACAAGGTACAGGAGGCGGAAGACAAGCTATTTGCCCTCAAGCAAGGTGCTGACTCAGTCCCTACATATATCGCCAAGTTTGAGCGTGTCCTTTACGAAGCAAGAGGTCAGGACTGGCCAGATGTCAACAAAATTTCCACCTTTAGGAATGGCCTTAATTCTACTCTTCGCGGACGACTTTCTCAACAACTCAACCTACCTCGCGATTATACTACATTCATACGCGTCGTACAACAATTAGCAGGCCGCTTCTCTTCGTCTACACAACCTACACAGTCCTACTCCTCTGGCAACCACCACAGCGAACCAATGGACATAAATGCTTTTAGCATCAATTCCATCGACCCATCCTCTCCTCCACGCGCTCGCTCTATTTCCCCTGAGCGTAGAGATCAATATAGAGCTGAAGGCAGGTGTGTACGATGTGGCTCCTTGGAACACTGGGTCAACGATTGCATACTCCGTCCTTTCTCACCAGGACCACAAGGAAGGAAATCAGCCATAGATTTGGGGGATCTACCAGCTGGGGAGGCATTCCCAAAGCCAGTACGAAAGCAGATTGCAAGACCAGGCAGAGTAGTAATAGCAGCTATGAACGACAATGCTTACGATAGCGCGGAGGTAGATTCGGACGATCCTGACCATCCAGATGCCTGGCAAAAGGGTATTTTTCACAATTAGTTCAGATTTTCAACGCTCGGGGCGAGCTCTTTTTAAAGGGGGGGGTGATGTGACGGTTATGGTCACGAGGGCTGGATGTCACATGCTCGCTTAGCGAGGCGCTAGCGCGCACGACCTGTATTTAGTTCCCAGCTCTCTCGAGCTCTCCTTCTTTCCTCGTCTTTTGTCCTAAGAATAGAGTGTTAATTGTTCTGAGTTCTACCTGAAGCACGTCTGTCACACTCTTGATCTTTATATTAAATTTAAGCCTTATATTCTCGGACGTTTTATAATAAAGCCTTATTGTTACGGAGTTGGAGGAACTGAGGGCGGATCACGTGTAGCATGGCCTGTGCGTGCAACTGGACTGCTGTATTTAGGCTCTCGTTCCTCTGTAACTCTCTTCTCTCACTTAGTTGTTCGTTCAATATAGCAGTTTCCGGTTTGACTCAGTATTCATCACAGCAAGCAGTGTGACGGAGCTGGATTTCATTTGACAGGATTTCATTCGCTTGGCCAAGCACGTGACGAGACTTGGCATTGGAACAACTTAAATAACTTCGCTCCTTTCAGATTCTCTTCTCTCTTTAGTTTGATTTCTTCGTACCTACGGTTTTAGTTCTAGCAATTGATTCAAAAGCTGTATACACTTTATCCTTTGTTGGCATCCGTGACAACGAGTTCACTTCCAAGTGAACAACCCGATAGTCTTCTTCTTATCATAGCATACCAACCAGCGAACACCCAGCCAAGTTCTCTTTAGTTTGATTTCTTCGTACCTACGGTTTTAGTTCTAGCAATTGATTCAAAAGCTGTATACACTTTATCCTTTGTTGGCATCCGTGACAACGAGTTCACTTCCAAGTGAACAACCCGATAGTCTTCTTCTTATCATAGCATACCAACCAGCGAACACCCAGCCAAGTTTAGTTAGCCAGTTTGAGTATTTGTTACACCTACTTTATATTTGTATAAATTATTTTATACTACTACGAATATATACTATCTTTTATCTTAGGATTCTACTATATTTTCTAACCCCTTTATTAAACTATATAAATCTACACTTAAAAATATTAAGGCTACTATTTATTAAGGCTACTATTTATAAGTCTTATCTTATAGTAGTAGAATATAGGAATTTATAAGCTAGCCTTAAGGAGAATTATAAGAGAAAGTAGTTATCTTAAAGAAGTATTTATAAAGGAGAAGTAATATTAATTATATAGGCTTAAATAATAAAAGCGAATAAGGATTATTGTAACGAATACTCAAACTGGCTAACTAAACTTGGCTGGGTGTTCGCTGGTTGGTATGCTATGATAAGAAGAAGACTATCGGGTTGTTCACTTGGAAGTGAACTCGTTGTCACGGATGCCAACAAAGGATAAAGTGTATACAGCTTTTGAATCAATTGCTAGAACTAAAACCGTAGGTACGAAGATCTTGGCTGGGTGTTCGCTGGTTGGTATGCTATGATAAGAAGAAGACTATCGGGTTGTTCACTTGGAAGTGAACTCGTTGTCACGGATGCCAACAAAGGATAAAGTGTATACAGCTTTTGAATCAATTGCTAGAACTAAAACCGTAGGTACGAAGAAATCAAACTAAAGAGAGAAGAGAATCTGAAAGGAGCGAAGTTATTTAAGTTGTTCCAATGCCAAGTCTCGTCACGTGCTTGGCCAAGCGAATGAAATCCTGTCAAATGAAATCCAGCTCCGTCACACTCGTTACTTGTATCAAAGATGTCAAACTAATATGATAAGATTGATAACTAAGTTGAGCACGATGCTCCTATCTAATGGCAGACGTGCCAGTCTTATATAGAACCTTCGTTCTCTTGTGCTAGCTTGCTAGACTCGTCGCTCGGTCGCTGCTAGACTGGTAGACCAGTCGCCCCGTCTAGCGACATGTATCACGTGATAACAATACAGAGAAACCCCTGGATCGCTTAGCTACTCCAAGCGATCCCTATTTGCTATAAGAAACCTGAATGTGCCTGTCGAGGGTTGCGCCTCTTATTATGACAAGTATCACGTGAACACGTGATTCGTGACATCTTAGGGTTCGTAGTATATAGCTTCTTTATACGCGAAGGAACTATAACTTTCTTACTTCTTATATATCTAACTCTAACTGTGAGAGGCCAGACCTCGAATAGCTCAAAGGTGTGGTTTCGAATATTCAATTAAGAAGTGCGTGAAGACTACATACATACAAGCTCTTTCTCTATATAGAGAGAGAGGAAGAGCTTCTAGAATATTCCAAGAAACTGCTTAACAAATACATGATGTCAAGAGAATAGAACAGAAAAGTATAGAATAGCCGAGCCTCCATCATGGGTTCCAAACCTCACACTAACTCTGGACTTATTTATATTTAGTATATATTTACTCTTACGAATATTATATTTAAGTAGTATAGATTAGTAACCGTAGAACTACTTTTTAACCTCCTTTTACGTATACGCCTCGAGTTATATATATACGATTAGTCTTATTTTAATTATATAGAAATCTAGGTATTATTTTAACTATTTATCGAACTAGGATTATAAAGGAGTAAGATTACTATTAGCTTTTCGAAGGTAAGTTATATAATTACTAAGAATATAATCTTTTAAGTTACTCTAAGCCCTTATTCATACTAGTTATAATAGTACTACTAGATAGCTTCTTCTTATATATTATTTAGAACTTTATTATTTCTACTAACTTATACTTATTATATTTACCGGCCTTATTGACTCTCTTTCCTCTAATCCTTAATAAGGTAGAAGTAATAGAGCTCTCGGCTATACTATATATACGCGCTATAATAAACGGTCCTTTATTATAGCCTTCTCCTTATATCTATTTAATAGTATTAGCTATATTATAAGAGTAATCGAGTTTTATTTATTCGTATCTACCTAGATTAACCTATTATAGAATAGGTTTATAAGTAGATTTAATAAGTAGAGAAGAGTAAAAGATATATAAATTTAATATTTTTATAGAAAGTTAAGTAACTTAGATATAAGTATAGAATAATTGTTGAGTTAACATATATTTTATATAGTATTCATACCTTATATCGAACCTCTGCCTACGTCTTACTTACTTGCGCGTCTTACTTACTTCCGCTAACTATAAGCGATAGTATAATAGAAAGTATACTAACTATTAGGTAGTACTTACTAGGTTTAGCTTTAGTAGTCTCGTAATCTAATCGAACGCGCTAAATGTATTATAATAGAATTAGAATACTATAGCATATTATACTAAACCGAAGTAGATATAGTATAGTATTCTACCTATTATATTAGTTCCTAGGGAGGAATACTAGTAACTAGTTTATATACTATACTCGCGTTATTTTATTTTATCTAAGTAATAAATATTCTTTCTTCTAATTACTAACCTTGATATATAGCGAGGTTATCCTAAGCTTTCTATTCGTTATATAAAATATATTAAAAGAATAATGTTACTTGCTACATAATATTAATACTATTTTAGAATTCTGGATTCCATGGAGTAATGGCTATGGTGGAATCCGAATTATGGAAGATTCTGGACCTCTTTTTGTAATTGAATGTAGTACAAGTATTGTGGGATTTATTAAGGGGGTTGGTGGGGAATGGGAAGGGATTCCTGATGTTGGTGTTTGTGTGAGAGAGAGCGGAAACAAGTCAGTTGAGATATAGGGATTCGATGGTTTTGGGAGATGTCTTGAATGGCGTAGTTATTTCTACCCACTAATACTTCCTCCTACCGGGATTTCCTTTCGCGACGGAAGTAAGGTAACTTAGATACTTAGATAATTGGAAGCTTCCATTCCATTCCACAACTACAAAAACCCCCTCCCCCCTCACAAACCCCCCTCACAAACCCACATCCTACCCAAAACCCTCCAAACCCCCTCCATTCTCCATTCTCCATTCTCTATTCTCCAACCCCCCCCATGAAAAAACCCCCCAAAACTCCAAACCCCTCTAAATATAAAACCCACCAAACAAACAAATATCCCCTCACAGACTCACAACAAGCTCCCTAGTGATCTTACCTATACACCATCCTCTCGTTCTCGGTCTCGGGTGTTTTTTTTTTGGTGAACATACGAAACTAGTAGAGGTACTGTATTGAGTGGAAGTAGTATTTTATGGTATTTTATGGTATTCGATATTGTATAGAGGGGTGGGGTAGATAGGTAGGTAGGGGGGGAATGGAGGAGTTGTGGGGAGGATGAGGGGATTACTTAGGGATTGCGGATTTGTGTTGGTATTGGTAGTGAGTTTGGGTTTAAGGTTTATGGATGTGAAATGTAGCGGGGGATAGGGTTGGGTAGGATGAGAGGAGGGGCCGGGATAGGAGATCTAGAATTTCAGTAGAGTAGTATTCAGAAAGAAACGAAAAGAAAAGAAAAGATAAATAGTTCAAGCTATACCTACTAACTCCACATAACACCCACTTTCCATCCAAACAACCAAACTACCAGAGCTAAACTTCCCATCTCCTTTCCCTCTCTTCCCTAAAACCGCACTGCCCTATAATCCATTAATCGATACGGCCATTCCTCTATCCAAACCTAAGTAAGTCACACTCTCACAATCTCACCCTCACCCTACAATTTTCCTACAACAAAAACCCATACCAGCTACCAGTAAATTTCAAACTTAAATTACGAAATTCTTATCATCCTTCCAATAAAGCGAGGAAGGACAAATAAGTCCATCAATATCAGTTAACAAACAAGGCAAGAGCATGATACAATAAACTTTCGACCTACCTATATCATATGGTATAACTAAGTCCTTATTATATTCCATGCCGAAGGAAGTGTAGCTAGCTAAGTCCCTGCGGACTTGTAGGTGTAGGTGCCAGAGTAAGATCTTACTCGTACGCTGGTCCCGCCCCGAGCTGGCTAATTCTCATTTATTATTATGAGCTGATAATTTTATTGCTTCAGGAATTCTAGAATAATAAGTTTTAAGATGGAGTGGGGTGATGAATAGGTTATGTATGTCTCTTACGAGTACAGTCCTACTGTACCCAAGCGTACCCAGGATGATGAAGTACGTATTCGGATTAATATTTTTTACATGCCTCCTTACCTCATGCTGGTCCAATACAGTACTAACGCAAGATTGTGGAGGTCCACACGAGCTGAGGAGACCTAGTTAGGTTAGCGATGATATTGATAGCGTCCTTGTAGTCCGAAGATATGCGGAGGTTGTTCGCGAACTTGACGTCGATATATCTGTACCTCGTTGCGATGTGTAGCGTAATGTCTTCGAGAAGCTCTGATACTCTTACCCGCACTCTAAGATCTGCCTACCTTGCGTCTCGAGGGCTTTCTAACGTTTGAGCGGGCAATCTGGATTTTTGGCGGATGTGGAAAGATATAAGCGCGAGTTTGGTACGTAGGGGGGTATGTTAAAGAACTGTACGGTTCTGATGTCTGAGTCTGGATTTCCTCTGTATGTAGGTTTAGTATTGAGACGACGGGATGTTTGCCGCTTTGGGGAGGTAGGTGATGGCGCGTGTGGGATTTAGGATGGGACTCTTGTCCATCGAGTGTATCGTCTCTGCGATGAAGAGGTCAAGGAGGCACTTGTGGGGGGTGAAAAACTGAAGAGCTCTTATCCGCCGGTATTATAATATCGTCGCGAGGGGGTGGCGCTTGTGGGGTTATGGTATGCGTATAGCAGCTTTCAAGTCGAGATACAAGATTGCTAAATCTAGTATTTTGTGATCCGCCGCGTTTACCGTATAATGTCGGGTGATATGAACGTGTACAATTTCCGAGGGGGAGAAGAAGAGCTACACGGTTCGTGGTATAGCTATAGTAGAGATCTTTGACGTACTGTACTTCTTTTCATGTCCTAGTATTTGCAAAGGTGTTGGCATATTGATACTGTAAAGCAGCGAGCCGAAGCAAGAAAGAAGAAGAGAATCGAACGTATCATCAGTGAGAAAGATGGATAAAGAAAAGAGCCAACGCAAGATAAAACAAGAATTTGTGTGGGCGGAAAGAGAAAAAGGAGATCCGAGAAAAAGATATTTGGCCAACGCCCCTTCCCCTGAGCCCGTCCGAGCTACCGAGCTACCGAGCTACCGAGCTGCCGAGCTACTCCATCACTCCGTGTCAATTTCGTCATGTCAATTCGTCATTGCTGTTCTGTAAACGAGCATTTGTTTGTTGTAAGCGAGTTTTGCGAGAGCCCTAAGGAGGGTAGGTGTTCCGTTGACCCCATCACCAACCTCGCAATTCGTAAATAAGCGTTGACCAAAGTCCAAATTTCAAAGAAAAGAAAAAAAACGTCGCCGCTAGTCGTCCCATTACCATTCTGGAAAAGATCATCAAAACATCCCACCTTCCTTACATCCCAACTCCCCCCATCCCACCACCACCCACCCCGGAAGCTGTTCATAGCATGTCAAAACACTATGATCCACGCCCCCGCATTTAGAGAAACATCACTTGGTACCAACCCCATCATTTCGATCCCCCTCTCGCTTACCCATATCCTCCTCGACCCCATCATCATCATCGCGATCCCGGGATTTCGGGTCCCGACCCCTCTCTCGCTTCTCCCAGACAAGTTCCTTGAGCCATTTGTTCTCCTCTTCTAGCTCCTTGACGCGCCCTTCGAGTTTTCCTACGAGGGCTCGACGCTCGGCACTTGCTCGTTCGAGGGAGGCCTCGCGTTTCTTCTTCTTCGCTCGGAAGCGGGCGGATGCTGCGGTGTTGCGGAGCCGTTTTTGCTCGGCTTCCGGGTCGTCGAGTGGGTAGGGGCCGTGGAGGTGGTGGTCTTGTGGGGAGTGAGGTGAGATGATGGATGGGTAGGGGGAGATGGGATGTCCTGAGTGGGGTTGTTGGAGTGTGGTGAGAGAAGGGTGGGTGGTGTCGATATAATATGGTACGAAACCGTTGGGAGGGGTGGATTCGGTGGAGGAGGAGGGGGTTGGGTAGTAGGTTTCGTAGTAGCCTCCTAGGGCGTTGGGATTGGGTTGGGGATTCATGGTGAAGGTGTTTGTGAGGGGAACAACTTGTTGGTTCCAGGCGCTGAAGGATGCTTGGTGTGAAGCTGGGATAACTGCGTTGTTTGTTAGTGAGGGTCGGGAAGAGGAAGCATGGGGTTTTTTGAAGAACAGTTGAGGAGAAATGAGGGAAATTTCAATTTTATGAGGAATCGACGAATATCAAAACCTCGTAATTGAGGTCTCGTAATTCAAAATGAGATGGAAGATGGAAGTCCTCGTCGTGATGAGTAAGGGTTGTGAATTTCAATGGAAAAGCCACCACCTGTTTACGCCATCATTCGGCAACGTTCAGATACGTCCAAGCTCGAGAGTGATTCTGGAAAAGTTTGCTTGAATCTGTGGCAGAGAATTTCCAATAAAGTATTCGCAATGCCATGCAATTCAAGAATAATGAGGAGCAAGATCAAGCCTCACTCGGGGCTGGTCAAGTCACGCCTGCCATCCGATGTCCCTGCGTGATGCGTCACGTGTAATCACCTAATATGCAGGTTTATGACGAAATGCAGTAGGCGGGATATAGACGCCCACTCGGGCCATATAAAGGGATGCTGAGTTTCACGCGGCCCCTGTTGATAGCACTGCCAAATACCACATCGATGTTCGAACGGGTGCGAGATCTTCCACGCTGCAGAATTTCATGGTCGTGTCATGAAAGGGACCGTCCTTGGGCCTTGGTGACTCATGAAGATGACGGAGATGGCATTGCGCGAAGATCTGTGAATGGTCGTGAGGATGCGGCATTGATTTCTTCGATAACGTAGGTGTATCGCATCGTAGACGTCCTGCAGTGGCCCTCCCCGGGACGCGAGCGGCGCGTCATCTTTCTTCATGGTCCATCATGGAATTGAAGCTATCCAGAACCAACTGTCTCCATCAGGAAGGAAAACGACACTGTTCGAGATGGTGGAGAATGAGGAGAAATGATGACATCGAGAACAAAAGAGATGCATCCGTCTTCTGCCCTCGATATACCGCCACTTCCCAACACCAGTGTCTGGAAAACAAACAATGCCAGAATCTTGTTCCCCTGCGTCTTCCCTAACATCCGTCATCGTGCCCCCATGCTGGATGTCAGGTAATATGGAAGCTTCTTATCTGACTTGGCAGCTTTTGTAGAATGTTCGAAGGGGGTAATAGTGCAGCAAAACTCCAAAGCAGAAGGTCATATAAGCCAATCAACAACGGAGAATTCAAAACTCCCAAAATGGCAGTAAAACAGGCAAAATTGAGAACTGTGAATAGTGGCACAGAAAAAACACAAGCTGAACCTGAAACTTACTTGGTTCAACACTAGGCTGGGTCCATGGACCCAAATCTCCAGGAACAGGCTCTAGGTCATAGTAGCGACTCTGAGCTACGGCCCGGTTCATGAACGCCTCAACTTGGGCGGATCGAAACTCGGCCGACTGCTGCTGCTGCGTATCGATGGTGTCTCCCACGTGTTGGGGAGGATAGGGCGGAGGGGGGTGGTGATTCAAGCTCTGCATGGCGTGTTCGTCTTGGTCCGTTCAGTGGTAAGGAGGTATAGGTACTCCGTACACTTGCTGCTGATTCCCGACAATTGGACTCAATATAGACCCCTACAAGTACTCAGTTGACGGAAATCCTCATGGATGATGTCGTCGTGAATGACTTTTCCGACCCCGATTTGTATCAACAGGATGCCAACAATCTATGGGTGGTCACCGAGGTCGTGGTTCGTGCACGGGGCAAATGCCCGTGGTTGGTGAAGGTAACAGAGATCGTGCTTTGGTTGCAGATAACGCAATGGGCGGTGCGGTGGGTTTGTAAGAGAGGAGATGGTCGGTTGCCAAAGCCAGACATATATATGTTCAGAAGGGCTGGCTGGCGCTGCCACTACTGGCACTGGCTGGCACTGGCTGGCACAGTGGCACTACTAACTGCACCGCACAGAAATCAAGTTTGCAAGACCCGCGCCCGCGAGTCCTATGCAAATGCAAATATACCACGGCCCTTCTAGGAAAGATGAATTTGGGGGTTGCGTCTAGATCTGCAGCCTGCTTCCTTTCTCCTTCTGCCTCTGGCGAGTCTCCTAGGTCTCCTAGGCCGTGAGCGAGGCTGATGGTGGAGTGGAGTCTACTCGCCTCAGTCCTGTGGTGAAGAATAATTGGGGCGGCCGACGAACAAGTTGCTAATGCCTCCACGAACGGGGGCGGGGAGGTGGAATATATGATGTCTCTCCACCCTCACAGCGTCGTGGGGAAGTGGATTGGCTCGCAAGAGGAGTGGAAATACGATGTCGGTGGATACTGGGCGACTTTGGTAGGTGTAGGGTCGGTATGGAGTTACTTGGGTACGCTGTACCTGCGGTCGTCGACACGATAGGTTACTAGCCAGCGTAGTAACCGTGAACAAGTGATGGCTGGGTTGGTCTGGTGCCGCTCGCTTGTTTAGGGAGTCGGAGCTCAGGCGAGTTTTGGGGGTTGGTGTATTAGGGCGGTCATCGAGGCTGAAATTGGCTCGTGACGTCGCCATCGTTGGTTGGATATGTCGTAAACAGTGGAGATCGCCGACGGTACCAGCAAAAAACTATATAATAAGGTCCTCGGTTGATTCGGTTGCTGCTCTGTGATGTCGATGGCGATGCACTGATATCGCTATCATATCCAAAGCTTAGGTCCGAAGTTGCAGTATCAGGCAGCATACCGCATGCAGCAGACGTACAGGTACAGTACCTCCATACCCAACATCGTAGCAACACCCGGGAAACCAACGCGGCAACACCAAGTGCAGCAACACCCAGTCAAAAAAATCACGGTTCTGTCATACCAGTGGCGTGTCACATCGCCCGAATCCAAAAACAAAAACCCACCCGCCTTTCCACGCTCCTTTCCCCCCTTTCACTTCCTAAACGAGAAAGAGCTCCTTTCATTTCTCCCGCCATGTCTCGCTTGTTTACCCCCACGAACACATCTCGGCCAACCTGCCGCCCGGCCAACAGGAATCCCAATGTTCAGATATCGATCTCGATCCTGCACCTCATTGGTGTTTTTTTGCTGATAGAGACGGAAATCCCATGCCATCATCAATGCTGTCTCTTTCCCCAGATCTTCACTCCTGCGCTTACACCCTGTATATCACAATTTTGGCAACCGTTGTAATACTTGTCTCAACACTGGAGTAGATAACGGTAGAAATATACAGGACAGCCAGCTTACTTGAGGCAAGATATGCTGAAGGAATGTAAAGTACCTGCCTGATTGTGAATTGGCAGGCAGCTGGTACTGTGGAAAGTCCAGACAGGGTGTTGACATGGTGTTTTTCTTTTCCCCGCATTTCGGGCTTACAAATGCCGGCTTGACAAGGGTAAGTAACTCCTCGGGTTTTTGCACGGTTTTGGGTATCTTGCTTGGATTACTACTGTATGGTGGCAGGTCGTCGGGAGTTTTTCGTGGAGATGACTTGGTGTATTGTTGTTCACGTTTTCTTTGGTATCTGGCTGTCTGCCGCCCGCCCTTCGTGACCGTTTGTGAAGAAGGGCTGAAATGTCACTATCGATGCTTATTCAATCCGAAGGCTACTGTACATATCTGGTCGCGTGTGAGGCACAGTTCTCTTGGCAGTTCTCATTGCTTTTGTTTATTTTTATGTTTGTGGCGATAGAAATTTGGATACCTCGGAGACAATTCATGGTGGAAGTTGGATTGTTGCCTGATCACTTTATTCAGGGCTAGAATCCGGGTTACTAATCTCGCTGGATGGAGCTTCCCGTGTTTATGCTTATGCCTGTAACATAATCTATAAGTTCACTTGGGTACGTTTTATATTTTTTTAAGTCTACCAGGCTCTGGATGGACAAAGGGTGTAGGTAGTCTTTCTATTAGTGTAACGTAGATTAGAGTTCTTGGATGTTTTAACAGCTTTAGGAGAATTAACTTTATCGAGAAAGATTTTAGTTTTTTTTGTTCTGGTTGTATAGATTAGTAGGATAGTTCATTTAGTAGACTGGCAATATACGAGTATACGAGGGCTATCTACTATTGCTGGTATGGAGATATCTAGGATATCAAGGTAAAGAAATAGGGTATAGTATATTCAGTCAATTGTTGTCTAAGTGCTAAGGAGTGGTGTTGTTCGAGTACTTATGGTTTGATTGGGCCTCATCATGTGACGTAAATAAAAGGGGATCGAATATATCCTAACAACTACTTAATTAGGAGATAAGAACTTAGGTCTATTAATGCTACTGTACTATGTTGAATTTGATATATAAAGAGGTTTGCACATAAAAACTTTCAGGTAGAAATATTGAGATTGGAGTTCTATATTAATCACGTCTTGTAGAGTGGTATATAAATGGGACTCTGGAACTAGAATACGGAGAGAAAACTTCTTTATATTGTGAGTCTTCATCGAGGGTAAGAACTCACAGCTCCGGCTCCAGCTTCTATTAATCCTTTGTAAAAAGGACGAATTTAGAACTCCAAATAGTATATTCTATCTCTGTGAGAGGCCAGACCTCGAATAGCTCAAAGGTGTGGTTTCGAATATTCAATTAAGAAGTGCGTGAAGACTACATACATGCAATCTCTTCCTCTATATATAGAGAGAGGAAGAGTTTCTGGAGTCTTCCAAGAAACTGTTTGACAAATACGTGACGTCAAAAGAATAGAGTAGAAAAGTGTAGACAAGGAGAAACCAATTTAGCAGTGGAGCAATGGCCAATGCTGAGCAGGGACTTTAGTCAGTGCTTAGCGAAAGCATGGCCCGAGCCTCCATCATGGGTTCCAACCCTCACAATCTCCATCCACACACCTCCAGTACTGAGCACTCCACTATAATTGCAAGAAAACATGCCACTACATTACCTAAAAGAAACCTCACAATTCTCGCCACCTTCTCATTATAGACATCATCATCTGATCCATACAGCGGGTGTCTTGAAGTTAGAAATCGAGGCATGGGTGACACGCCAGCGAGGTTCTCACACCCCATCCTTTTCCCAGCGTATTCATAATAGCATTACGTTGGCTTCATTACCCTCCCATAAAGGCCATTCACGAGGACTGGTCTTTTTTTCTCGTCTTTAGGGATAAGCGATTGGTGGGGATTTAGTTCACGAGATGGCGATATTTTCACCCCCCCCCTCTTTCCCCCCCCTCTTCCTCCCTGTTTGATCGGGAATTTGCTCGCGTGACGCGCTTGCTAGAGAATGGAGCGATAGTTTCTGAATGGGGGCAAGGTCTCGGAGTTATTCAGGGAATCATCACTTTTCCGGAGATAAACTTCGAGGGTTGGGATATGTATTCGGAAGTCTTCATAGTAGAAGAATTTAGGAATCCTTAGAAGTCCAGGTGGTATTTCTATGTCTGCCACTATAATGACCCAGTATTATCCCTAAGGCAAGTAGATTAAATTTAAAAACAGGTTTCTTCGAAAACAATGTGTGGTGTTGCGGTGAATGTGGAGCTAAAAAAAAGGAGAGGATATCCCTTAGGGCCAAGACTGGGAGACAGAAGGTACGGTGAAAACTCACATTAGTCTTTCTTTGAATTGTTTGCACATCTCTCAAGACCCGTCACCTGGTATATTCTTAAAAAAAACGTCCTGAAAATAGAAAATCGGTGCTTCAGGGACGCTCTAAGCGAGCGTTTCGCCCTATGCCTGATAGTAAAGCGCGGTATTTTCTCCTTGCTCATCATTCGTAGTCAGCGTTTGGCCACCCTCAGTACTGGATACCGAGAAGAGAGATTCCTGCAGCCTTTTCCATGATATCTTTCGTGTACGTCGACCTGGGGAGTATCTGAGAGGTGGCTGTAGAACACTGCTGCTTTCTTAATCTTTTTAATTAGTTCCCTTGCCTGGTTTTACGGCCCGCAACTTGACTTGAGAAGAGAATGAGGTTAGGCATATCATATTTTCAGAATCCAGTTGGCGTGAAGAAAGCTCGATGCGTGGCTTTGTATGAAACCCCGGAATCGTTTGAGTTTTTATTATGAAATCATAATATCGTGAAGCATAGATGTATTTTCACGTGAACACATATATACTAAACTCCCTACATCATGGAACCTACCTTTTCCATAAAACAAACAAACAAACACAGCAGTTTCCAATTTTCAATAATATAAAGGCTTATAAAAAGTCGTTGGTAGTCGAAGTGCTCTCCCAAATCTCGCTTCAATCACGTCATGGCCATACTAAATGGCACACTCTGCCAATGAAAAATATCTTCCTTTTTTTATTATCCACAGCCCCGGACGCGCGGATCCGGTTGGTAAGCTTGGTCCACTCTGTTGGGGGTAAAAGAATGGTGGAGTGGGCTGTGGAATGATGTAGAATCTACATACAGCGGATGGGAATACGTTTACTTACTTATGTTTTGTCTAATATCGTATTCAAGTCCCTCACTTTTTCTCTGGCGTCTTTTTCTTGGAGAATTTGATGGTTCTTCGATAGTGTATGTTAGTGCTGGAGCTTGGGTGGCTCGATGGAAATGATATGACCTTGACACTTCGATGACTATTGCGTGCTTCCCATTCACGTAGTTAGTAAACGGTATTGGGGGGACTTGATTGGAAGAACTATCATGATTTAAACACAGGTGGAATCATTCCTCACTTCTAGCCGTCAACCCTTTGAGAGCCTCTCGGTGCATAATGCCGTAGATGTAGCATGGCCCAAGGAATAAGAACTTGTTCCCTGTCTTTGATCTGAGCATATACAGTATTCTATGCCCAAATCCACGCAGGCAAAATCCTATGGCGTGATATCTATCAGCCCAAGTCCCACCTTGTCCTCATCATTTGTGAAGAAGGTTCGACGCGCGCGTTGAACAGCGAATTCAAAAGACCAACCAACCTTCCTTTGCTGAGAAGAGACTGTATATGCATGCACATTGGCGCAGAAAGTCAGAATGTTCAGGTAATTTTGAAGATTTGTAGTATTCCAGCAATCTTCTCCTATGTAGTCACTGAGGTCTGTCGCTGTGATGGTTTGAACAAAGTTTTGATCCAGGTGTTTTACACAACGGCGGGAAAGGTGTCCACCTACTAGAAAAGTTTGAACTTCTCACGCAAGGTCTCTATACGCGCACGAGTCGCTTTTGCATCAGATGACGAATCTTGAAGGTCGTGGTTTATGACCTTTGTTTGGCCTATTTCATCACAGGGCTGCATTTTCTGCTACAGCATGAATAAGAAGTATCATGTGTCTATACTACCCCATCTTGGTGGGATCCCATTAAGAGGTATGAGTTGCGCTAAATATTGTTTGCTACTTGTTCTCGCTCTCCTGATATCTGCCCTTCTTCCGAGTATGAATACAATGGTAAGGATTTGCTTCTGTCAAGTATTTATCACAAGTGTGCGATGATGGGAGACAGACCTCGCGAGAGCAGAGAAAGAGAGAGATGGAAAAGGGGCGTGAGGGGCCTACATATTCGTCTGGAGTACTTTGTGGTAAGTGGAGTGATTTGCGCTAAATTCAATGGAACGTCACTCCTCTCTCGCTCTTCCTACTCTGTTGGGAAAAAGTCTTTTTGTATGATTTGAAAATCCATTTTATTAGGCTAACTTTACATTTAGAATACCGTGTAGGTTGACTGAATGCTGTCGAGGAGAAATCTCATCGTAAGAGTCCCTTATGGATTTCTGAGGTACGGGTTTTTCTATCATGAATCTATGAACCTAAATAGGTCGAGGAGGGACAACCCCGAGAATAGAGCCATCATCATTGTGCACAAATAAAAGGTTGCATCGAGATACCTATCCCATAGTGTGAAACCCTTTGTCGTGTCAGTTGACTTTTTCATATCAGCTGGTGTTGCACCCCATCTGATCATTTGGCTTCGAGTGGGTGTCCAGTCGTATTTACTCATACTCCATTCAACGGAATGAAATATTTGTCCATCAATCATAAAAGGAAGTACTTCATTCAAAGAGTTCTGCACGCTAGCCATTGCGTCCGCCCATGGTGGGCCATGACCATCGAGATCACCAATTCCGCCATTTTCGGGGGAAATGCTACATGAACTCTCCGTTCCAAAAACATCAAAGAACGCATGCATCATCTCATGTACCAGCGTGGTGATAAGGCCTATCTTGTAATCTACACCGATAGCCCTGGAGATATGAAAATCTACATTCAGAAGAACCCTTTTCTTGGAAGGATCCCAAAGCCCATAATTCCCTGATATTTCATTACCTTTGGCGAATTGAATACCGCTGGTACGGCTCATTAGACGTCCGAAAAAATAAACTTCGTCCAAGGCGTGTGCCCAATTTTCTAGAAAGTAATGAAGTTCTGCTTCGCTGAGAACACCTTCCGGGATCTCTCCAGTTTGGAGGAACAGTAGAATGTGACGATTTTTGAGACGATGTGAAAGCGGGGTTTCGTTTTTGTTCAATTATTGAAGATGACAAGTCGGAGTAGTGGTACCCTTGAAGCGTGAGGGCACCGCGAGCTATGCGACAAGACGATGTGTGCGAGGTTGATTGTCCCATTTGGAAGTACCTGCGTATTTTTATCTGAAAGGTGGGAATGTTGCTTGGGCGAGGAGGTGTTTTAATAGGCTTTGCTTCGAGCTCCACGGGAAACTGTAGTTGAATTCCAGATCGTAAATCTGGTTTTCCTTATACCACCAATATAACTTCAAAGGGAACAAATGTATTCCAAAAAGAGACGTAAAACAAAAGATATTCAGAATCAATAGCTCATAAAGATTTCATGAACAATCAAAGCGCTGAAGTCTTGGTTGTTCAGGTTTATGTGGTAGAGATATTACTCTATTACACGGTGTAACGGTTAGAAGGGTACTGTTTTCGAGGGGGTTGGACAGCTGCTTTGAGGGGTCTGCTAACCAGCTTTCGGATAATCCCGCACCTCTGCCCTTTGATGCGGCCACCGAGCACAGTGCACCTTTTGGTCGCTGCGCGCCTCCCTCTTCATCTTCTCATGCCCATCACAGTCATCACCCCCGCTTATTATGCCCCCGTTTCTAGAGGGGCTCTACAAAGCCAGAAGAAGCTCTCTCCTAAACAGCCTTCGCTATGTTAACCAAATTCATTCTCGAGATGCCTATAAAAACGGCCATCGCCCCTCGCCGGTTCCCTCTTGTGCTCATCACTCCCTCGAGGTTTCTTGCTTCCTCAACCACCCCTCTATCTCCCACCCCGCTCTCCGCCCTCCTCAGTCGATCGCTGCCAATCGGCACACCTTTCGATCTGTCACCAACTATATTCTCGCCTACCGCATAGCTCGTTCATCGTGCCTTGCATCTCAATTCTCCAGCGACACTACGAGGAAGGCTACCAGTCCAGCGACGATGAGACGCGCAGCATAGCTGATACTGAGGCAGACAGCTTGTTCGATAGCTGCGACGATGAGCCTGACGTTACCAAAGTTTCCAACCTTACAAGCGTGGCAGCTGAGCCCGTCAGCGACACAGAAGATGATGCCTCGCCTTTCGAGGACGAAGTCCGGCGCCCTCCAGAATATTACCTTGCTGCGGCAGCAAAGCTCGATGTACGGCGGCTCAGGTCACGTCGGTACAGTCCCAATACCCAAGATCGGCTTGACTGGGTGAAGGAGCAGCACGATTGGTATGAACTAGATATAGATCAATTTTAGGAAACTTGTGCTAACCTCACTCTATCTGTAGCTACTGTACATTTATTAGACAAGATCCGTTTCAATGCTTCAATACGGTCTCGGCCGAATTCCTTCATGGTTTCTTCAGCTGGGTTTGCTACCAACGACGGGGGAAGGGCGGACGAAGGCGACCTGGAATCAAACATACAAGCTCTCTAGGAAAGTTCTGTAAATGGTACCAGCTAGTATACAAGTGCGAGACTGGTCGGAAGATTGATGATATGGTCCAACTTCAAGGTCAAGATGTAAGCATATCTTTCAATTCTCTTCTCATTATCTAGAATCTAAAGCTAACGTAACCTTTAGGTTATTAGGCTTGTGGCTGACGAAAAGGACCTGGCCAATACAAAGCGGGAGAGCGCTACGATGTATGTCGAAGATCTGGCCGAGTTTGCTCGCGTACTCCTTGCTACAAGAGAGATGACTTTCGAGATCGGCTGGCTTCGCATTCAACTGATTTTGTTTTGCCAGCTCGCAGGGATAACTGGTAATCGACCAGAGGCGCTTGTGAATCTCCGTTTTCGACATTTCAAATTTAACCTGATCCGAGACCCAAATGGAAGCCGTCCTCGACTCTTTATTGAGCTAACAGCTGAGTATACGAAGGGCTATCTCGGCTCGAAAGACGCGTACGTGAAGTCTGCTTATATTTTTGCTTTAGTCTACTAACTAACCCTTAAGCAATACCTTCCCCATCCCGGAGATTATCTTCGACCCAACTCTAGTACCTAGCCCTCACGTCTTCCTACTTGGCATGCTATTCAAAATCCAAGCCTTCAAGTCCCCGAGTATTATTTCCCCAGAGAAGCTATATAGCCTCGAGGTCCTGGATGGAACAAATGAGCAACCGTTGCCGTTGAAAGAGGAGCTGGATGATAATTTTATCTTCTGTCAGGCTGTCCGTGAAGCGCACGGCGTCCGCATTGCTCATAAAGTACAGGTCACCTCGGATTCAGTACGCTACCGGATGAAGATAGGTGGTCAGATCACCGGCTTTGCTGCTGTGACAGGGCCTTATAAACTCCGTGATGGGGCCGCAAAGGCCTTGAACGAGAGCCGTAAGTGCCAATACTCCTACATCATAGTTTTCATACTAATATAGTATGGCCCTCATAGCGGATGTTAGCGAGTCCCTACAGAATCTGATCCTACAACATTCTAGCATCGATACTTTCCTCAAACACTACCTCGATCGAAGGATCACTGCCGATGTTGCTAAGATTTACCGTGGTATGAAGCCAGAGAAGGATTTGATGAGATTTGCATGTTCAATGAGCCGGTCAATTGATCCCCGCCGTCCATGCAAGTTGACCACAAAGCATTCCACATCTGTCAATCGCCTGCCATGTATTGTCAAATTAATTGGGCGGGCGAAAAAATTTGCAGAAGCTCCACTGGATACTCAGAGTAACGAGAAGCACCAGAAAGCCTGTCGACGCGTCACAAATGAGAAACAGCGGCAGCGGAGGAAGTTGCTTGTCCAGATTGTAGACCGATTTAAGAAGGAGCAGCCTGTGATCGATAGCGAGCGACAGTTGTCCGGAAAGGTAGTCCACGAGGAGACTCGAGAGGCATTACAGCGGTCAGATCAAATGACGCCGGAACAGCTCCTCCTAATAGACTCTATATTGAATCTGCCCGAGACGACGCTAGAAAAGGAACACCAACGGAGGATCACAGCTATCAATGCTGTGACCGCATACTGTGGCGTGGAGGAGGGGACACCCAGCCGTCGTGTTCAAATAGGTCAACCCGCAAACGACATGACCGTCAAACCCGAAAACTTAATAGCACTATCGTCGGAAAGTATATTGCGCAAGGCGGTATTATCGATCAAGACAGACAAGAGGCCAACCATGTGTTTCCTATGCGTTGGAAATCCGAATCTAACAACGCGTGAGAGGGTTGTGTCATATGCAAATCCCGGTTCTTTAAGTAGGCATTTTTTGAGGAAGCACGTCAAGAAGCTGGAAAAAGGCAATCATGTTGAATGTCGGGTTTGTTATGTGTCACGTGCGCGCTGCTGGCATCCTGTATTTAAGCTCTCGTTCCTCTGGAACTCTCTTCCTTCCTCACTTTGTTGTTCGCTCAATACAGCAGTTTCCGTTTGACTCCGTATTCATCACAGCAAGCAGTGGTTCACTCCACACGGTTACAAGTAAATATCTAATTAAATTATAAGGATTTATTTACCTTTAAAAACGTTCTATTAGTTTATCTATAGAGAAGTCGCTTATAACTATATATAAAAATATACTAAGCTATTTCGTCGTTGTTATATATTAAGTTAGTATAAGACTATCTTTCTACCTAAGTATTTACTCAAGGGTTTAGAAGGTATTTTAAGATATATAGAGATTATCTCTTATATATTATAGGTATTCTTCGTGTAGTTCCGCTATGTATTACTCTCTAGTAAGCTTTAAAGTATATTATAAAGTTTTAATATAATTATTCTAAAAGTAATTAGTAGTAGCCTAGGCTTTTATAATAGCGATATATATAGTAATCTTCTTCCTTTGATCTCGGATCTCGCGCCTTCTTAATAAAGTACGCTAGTTATACCTATAGTATAGTATATATATATAGTATATTCGAAGGGTTATTTATTAAGGTATTTCTTAGTAAGGTAAGTAGATCTAACTAAATTATAGTATAGAACTAGGACGTAGAATCAAAAGATTTATATAGAGATTTATAAGAATTAAAAAGATCTAAAGGGTTAAGACCTTAAGTTCTTTTATATTCTTATTTTAGTAATATAAATCTAAAAACTTTTATAACTAGATTTACACTAGATTTATAATAATTTTAATTTAAAATAATATTTCTTAGCTAAAAACTTATATAAAACTCGCGAATCTTGCGAATCTATTCACAAAAGAATTATATATAAAAGTTATTTGTATAGTATAAAAGTATTTGCCTCGTGAGCTAAACATACTCTAAATCCCACATCTTACTTCTTAATAACCACTTTCCCATCAAATAAAAACAAGAACCACCCAGATTTCATCTGAACACAGAGGTATAACTGGAACCACTGCTACTCAATCGCTCCTCCCAACATACATACAATAAGTAAGTAGGGAATTCCATTCTCTACCTACTTTCCCTCCATTAGGCTATAGCCATTGCAATATGAATACTGATAAGGCTATTGCTCCCTCCTAAATCCATCCTTCTATCGCTCTCGCTTCCCTCTCATGACCCGTTAGGTTAAGATCACGATCCTGCCAAAAGATTTTCACAGGACCTCTTTCTCAATTCTATCTATCACAGATTGACTTCCTTACCCTTCATCTTCTTTCTGCCCTCCTCCTCTCCACCTTTCTAAAATATAGGTAACTAATTAACTAAAACAAGCAACCAAACAAGATTCCCTCCGTTACTTCTTCCTTCTCTTCCCACTTCAAATGCCCTAAACCATATTCGAAAACTAAAATTCCATTCCAGTCAACGACCCCTGAATATTCCATCCCATTCTCTTTTCTACAAATTCTAGAATCTTCGAATCTTAGACTCTAGAAAACGCAATTCCACTTTAGAATTTATCCTCTCGCTTCCAGAGTATCGAGGGAGCGAAAAAACGTGCACGTAAAAGTGGAGTAAAAGTATCCACTTGTAGAAAATCTTCCTAATAAAACATATTGATTCGGCTAACCAGGCAGCATCTCCAAGTATTTGAGCCTTAATTCGACCCAGTTATCATCCACTTATACCCACTTTCACGTGCACGTCTTCCCGCTCCCTCGATAATCTGGAAGGGATAACCTATTAAATAGTTATTTTCCTGCATTTAACTGATAGAAAATCTAGTGTGGTACTACTACTTACTTTTACCCTACTAATCGCTAATGAATATCTATATGCAAGTTTTTATACCTAGTAGCCAACAACGCGAGTTAGTGTATATAATATATCGATTTCCTGATCGCTTATATTACTTTAGTTCACTCTGATAAGCTCCCTTGTTGGTTCAAACATACATATTCTTTAAACTCTAAAGCTTGGAGCTTCATACTCTAGAATATTCCACATTAAAACAAAATCCCAAAATTCCATAAAGTCTAGTTCTAGATACCAAACACTAATACCAATCCCAATACCCACCCCCATCCACACCAAGTTCCCAAACCCCACATACTTCATACCACACTATCAACGCCAACCCCAGAAAAATCAAAAGATTCAGATGAAAGCCAGATCCAACTTCCACCGGAGAAGAAAAGATGTTTCTAGCACAAGTCCGCCTGCAATCTGAGAAACCGAGTCTTCGGAAATCGGGATTTACGTACTAGGTAGTCTTACTAGGGTGAGTGATATATTTTACAGGAACGAATAAACGCGTTTAGGCGAGGAAGAGTTTCATTGAGGGAATGAAGATGGTGGAGTAGGTATTTATGTATACACATACCAGTTCATCAAAAATGTCTAAAATGAATAAATAATCAAAGGAGAATCAAGTAGACCTGGTACCTCCCAACTATCTCCTCATTCGAGAAATTTAGCTCATCACCCTTCCTACTCCATACCTAATGTAATATACACAAACCACCGAGTAAGAAATAGACAATCATCACTTTACACCCCTTAATAGCCACCATCAAATCCCAAACCCAAACCAAGAACCCCTTACAACCAACCTAATCCCCTCCCTTTCGCCTCCCACTCCCCCCTCTCCCCCTCTCCCTCTTTCCTCCAAACCCATAAAAAATCTAATCACACAACAATCCACACCAATCCACACCACCTGTACAATCAACAAACACAGACTCCCAAAATAAAACCACTCAAACCACAACCTCGATATCCCTCACCCTACACCCCCCCTCCCTCTCGAAAAAAAGCCCAACAATACCACCTCCCCTCCCTTCTATCCCCTTCTATCCCCTCCTTCCCCCTTCCCCCTTCCCCCAAAAAGCCCAACATTACCCCTAAAATCCCCAAAACCACCCCACCACCCCCATCACCCACATTCCCAAACCCACACATCCAAAGAAACCCCAACTCCAGAAGTTATCCCCTGCATTCATCAAAAACAAATAACTTACCAAAACCTAAAAAGAAAGGATGAGTATAACAAGCTATATATATATAAATAATCCATTGCTTTCCTGTTGCTGTAAAGGAGAAAAGGGTTTAGGAGATTATCTTTTTGATTTTTGATTTCGATGGGGTTAGTTGAGGACTGGAGATCTGGAGGAATGGTTCTGGGGTGTTGGGTGATGGGTGATGTGTGATGGGTGATGGTGTGATGGTGTGATGGTGTGATGGGGTTGGGTTTTAAGTATGGAGTAATACAGAATATTACAGCGTAGGTATCTGAGTTGGTAAGTGTTATGTGAAGGAGGGAGGGAGGTTGGTAGGTAGGTAGGTAGGTACTTGTATATAAAAGAGATTTCTAGGGATCTACAAAAACTGAAGCTGAAGCTGAAGTAACACATAACACTCTACTAGTAAAAAACAGATCAGCTGAAAGGGAGAGGATCCCTTGGTTTGTCCGAGCGAGGAAAGATTGTATGTACTGTATCACGAATGTATATAATACCACTGAGGAACTACGCTCCGACGCCGTTCCGGAGTTCGGAACGGTGAGTACTTGGGAAAAAGGGGAGATCAGAGTAAATACGCGAGTAAGCAAGAGAAAGCAATAAACTCCATATACTATCCCTCTTCTCTCCCCTCCAGCCTCCTCCAATCCCACCCCAAACACCACCTTTTCCCCTCTCCTCACCCCACAAAACCCCCTCCACTACCCACCACCCACCACTCAGTGCCCACACCCCCACAAAAAAGATGAATCTATGCAAAACTCGTCCCCCCAGTCCCATACCCACTAGCACTCCCCGCAAGACTATTACTCAACCTGCGGCCACCCTTCCCAACCGGCTGCCCAATCCCAATCGGACTACTAACCCTCCTCTCAAACTCCTCATCTGCGTTATTGCTCGCACTAGCACGTCGCTGACTCTTCCTCGACTGGACGCGCGAAAGGGTATTTGGTTCGGAGAACTCGAGGGCGTCCTCATTTTGTGCTGAGAAAGCTTCCTCTCTGTCAAGAACCGGAGATTGGTGTTGGGATCGTGGTTCTTCTGGGATGGTGTTGAGAAGATCTTGTTCAGAGTCTGAGTCGACGTCTGATTCAGACGAGGAATCATCGTCTTTCTTGTTGAACCCCTCCATCTCCTCCAGATACCAAATAGGCACCGCACCCAGCGCCGCAATCGAGCCCAGTAACCACCATGGCGTGATAACATACCCCCTCTCCAATCCCCAGGTGAAAGCCGCGCCTCCCAGCGCAGGACCCACTGCACGACCAACAGCCGAGACACTCACCGCGACACCGTTAAGTGTGCCTAATACCCTCAGACTCGCCGCACTATTTGTTAAGAGGATGATGGAGCAGGGGAATGCGAAAATGACGGCGAAGGATTTGAGGACCATGATGGAGAACATGGTGGCTTGTTGGTGCACTGAGTTTTTGATAAGTGCGGTGAAGGGGGTCAGGAAACAGATTACGGGGAAGGTGACGGCGCAGGCTTTGAAGCAGCGGAGGACGCCGAAGTAGCGTGCTGTTGGGGGGAAGATGAGGAATTGGATGAAGCAGCCGCAGATGCCGTAGAGTGTGAAGCTGATATCATGTTAGTGTTTGAATTTTGAGGAAATGGGAAGGATGGAGAGGTGTGAGGTATAGGTTGTAAGGTACGAGAAGGACTTACAGAGTTCCGATACGGCCTGATCCGAGTCCAAACCCGCCAGAGAATTTAAAAGGAAGATGAGTATTTGAAGAGTCATGTTTTTGTTGTGGGTTGTGCATGAAGATTGGTAAAAGCTGATCATAAGCAACAGCATGGAGAGCCAACAATGTATATGCTGCAAGATTAATGACACTTTGTTTTGTAAATACTTCAGACAAAGTGGGTCTTGGTAAATCGGGCTTTTTGGTGCTTTTAGTAGCAAAATTCACATCAGAAGATTCGGAGGAATTGTCATTTGTCGAAGGTTTGGGACCAAGAAGAGAGGTCCTCTCATCAGGAGGCGAGGAGAACGAATGATGGGGCTTGCCTTTCGAGCTATTCATTTTGAAAACTCTTTTGACCAGGGCTACGCCTTTCTTTCCAATTGTGAGACCCCAATCTGTTCTATGTTTTTTGGTCTCAAGTGTTTCCTAAAAGAGATTGTCAGCAATGATAAGAACAAATGTTATTTGGTTTCTACCAAGGAGTAGAATAGCCGGATTTCACGGATAAGATCACTAAAATCATTGGATTCTCTCATTTTGGCGACGCAAAGACAAATAAATGGTCTCGTGACTGTCGATGTTCTACCACTGAAAACTCAGTGACACCCCCATGTTTTTTAAAACTTACTTTGAGAAAGAATATTCCTGTTGAAATACCGGTTAAAAAGAAGAAACTTGCAACCAGGTTTGGAAGGAGAAAGGGGAATTTGATCAATAGAGCATTATGCCCAAACAATCCCGGCATATTTTCTGCTGGCTTTGCGAAGAAGCCTCCAAATGATGGTCCGAAGATTGAACCTAAACTCCATACTAGGGGCATAATAGAGAATGCTCTGAAGAAGAAGTCAGCTTTAGCGTACTTGACGGGATCGCAAACAAGTCCGAGATCTAATTTGGGGGGGTTTGGACAACGAACAGAAAAGAAAGGAATATGAAAGTAAGGTATGATGGAGAACCTCTTTCCTTGCTTACCTTGGTTGAAGTTCCTTTTCAGGAACCATTTCGGCCACCATTGTTCGAATAATGCCAACTATAATCTCTTAGTCAAGTCCTTAATCATGGTTAATACCCGACATACCATTTCCATTACAAGCACCAGAGAGAGCTCTGGCAACAATTGCCATTGGTAAGGACGACGAAATGCCCCAAAATACTTGAAAATGAACACGTTAGTCATGATTATTTCTGGAAATACTTTCAAGTGGATTTACTACACAGGAGGGGTCGAAGATGTGAATTGAAATAAGGTAAAGACTTACATGTACAGCACATAGTAAATGTCAATCCGCAAAGTATGGCAGGCTTGCGGCCAAACATGTCAGATGCTCTTCCCCATAAAATGGCAGTCAAACATTGAGCTATACTGAACACAGCCGAAGTTATTCCTGCCCATTTAGCAACATCTTTTCTCTCGACACCAAAACTTTCTATCATCTCAGGTAGGTATGGATACACAGAAGTCAGTGCCAGGGGCTCGGCGAATCGACATATTGCTTGGATTAAAAAAGTCAGCGATGTGGTATAAGTTTTTTCAATATCCGCGAAACAGAGAATGGATTGAGGCACTACACTACCAGCGGTTGGAGAAGTTTCAAGAATGTGTATTTTCAGCTGAGTACAATGATAGAATATACTGCGGTCACACGCATAGTCAGAGTTCTGCGAATGTAACCTCAAAAACTTCTGAAATTCCGAAACCCAAACTCCCGCCTCGCTTTGAATTGAACAGCAACAAAATGAGTGCTTTTAACGGATATTCTATCAACTTGTTGATTAGGAAGGCTAGGAGACTCACCAAGAATTGTGAGCTGCTGCACAGGCAGTTTTGCAGGCCCACGTGACCGACCCAGAGCCATATTTCGGGTTGATGATGAAAAGGCTTGTCAGCCTCAATAAACGAAGTAGTGGCGCTGTGTAATATTCGGAAACACCATAGGACGCGGGGTATCAACCAATGCAGAGCGGAGTAGAAGAAATAGTCTGACACTACTATTGGAGAAAAAGAGCGGCGGTCTTGAGAAGATGAGGAAAAGAAGGAAATGAGAAGAGAAGTGGGGTGGACGAGCAGAGATGGTATTGAATGGCTGTTGATGCTCACAGCGGAACCGGACCGGGCGAGGATGAGAAGAGAAGCATTCGCTCCCGCAGCTAGCGCTCGCCTTACACACCAACAGAGGGGCAACTATTCCTCAATAGGGTGAGCTAGCCGGTTGGTATGTATGGAGTACCCAGGTGGTTATGTAGCCCAGCGAGCACAGTAGTCTAGCAGCCCACTAAGCTGAGGAGAATTGGTGGCGGTGAGTTTGAGGGCCCTGAGTCATTCCGAACCTACAGCAGCAGGTTCGTTGATTATCTCTGGTATTGCTTTCTCATACGATAAGGATCAGATTGCTGGATCCAAGTCAAAGTTTCAAGACGGTGGCAATTGATGTTGGTGGTGTGCAAGTGAGTGTACATGGAAATACGAAGGGCATAAAGTACATTGGAATTGAATCATTTTCAATGCGGTAAGCCGAATGCCGAGGAGAGCCGTTACCGGCCTTTCTGCCAATGAAAATGATGAGTTGAGCTATACGCCCCACTGTTTGTCTTCCTTAAGCCACAGCTGACTAAAAGTGGCTGGTACGAGGGTGACCGCCTGGTCTCGCGTCATGTGAGATAAGGCTCCCGCTCTTAACGCCGATCACCGATAGCAGATCCAATGTTGAGGCAAGTGGTACGACTGCAACCTCGGGACGTTTGCTGTCAACGCTACACTCACATCTAGCTAATGGCAGCACAATAATCATCAGTGCGATTCCAGAAATCTTTTGATTTCTGCTTCCCCCCGTTGATCAGGTTCCCACTCAAGGTAAGAGATTTTTCATTCGATTCATCACAAGACAGCACCATCCCCCTCTCTCCTCACGTACGTAGGACTAGGTACCTATTGTTTCACCACCCCACCCTTCTTACCCCATCAATACCTGCAGCTGCGGGCCAGATATGGATACGTACCTACACCTACCGCTACGGGCAACTTGCATACTACCTACCTAGGTGGTATACATAGGCTCGATAGGTACTCCCACTTACCAAAGCTTGATGGCTATCTACGAGATCTACAATGCAAATGGCATCATTTTGCATATATAGCGAATCAACTTAATCTCGCAGTGGGTGGTTGGAGTGCCATGGTCAATCGCAGCTAGCAAATCAGGATCAGCTACTACTCTACATAATCGAATCTCAAATTTACCTCTGACCACTTCCTCCTCCTCGTCTCCTTATCTTTTGCACGCTGCGACTTGTCTCACCAATTCGCTTCCATTGCTGACAACAACCATGGATAGCTCAATTGCGAAAGAGAAGATGCCGAACGAGCGGAGCCCCCTCATCACTACCGTTCGGGTCGGGCAACCTAGACAAAGATATTCCCATGGCACCGTCCGTCGATTTTGCACCATTGCCTTGTGCTCGTCGCTCATAGCCCTCGTCGTCCTGTTCCTCCTACCAGCTAGACTGCTTCCAAGGCATCACCCACGACCTCCTCACCACCACAATCCCCCATCCCCGCCTCCACCTCTTGAACATACCCCAAATGCACTCTCCTTTGAAGAGCTCCAAAGTATTTTGATCGAAACCCCAAAGGAAGAAAAGGCACAGGAATGGAGTAAATACTACACCTCTGGTCCCCATCTGGCAGGCAAGAACTACAGCCAAGTTCTCTGGACCCAGGAAAGATGGCAGGAGTTTGGCATTCAAGCAGATATTGCGACATATGACGTATTCATCAACTATCCACTCGGCCACCGATTAGCATTGTATGAAAAGAAAAAGCTCAAGTTCGAGGCCAGCTTGGAGGAAGATGTACTGGAGGAGGACCCGACCACCGGATTGGACAATCGAATCCCAACGTTTCATGGTTACAGTGCTAGCGGAAACGTCACGGGTTCTTATGTCTACGTCAACTATGGGACATATCAGGATTTTGAGGACCTCGTCAAGCTGAAAATTCCATTGGGGGGAAAGATCGCTATCGCAAGATATGGTGGGATCTTTAGAGGGCTCAAAATCAAGCGTGCTCAAGAACTGGGAATGATTGGTGCTGTTCTGTTCTCTGATCCCGGGGATGATGGAGAAGTGACGGAGAAAGGTGCTAAGCCATATCCTGAAGGGCCAGCAAGAAATCCAAGCAGTGTACAAAGAGGCAGTGCTCAATTTTTGAGTATCGCACCAGGCGACCCTACCACACCTGGATATGCCTCTAAGCCTGGGGTTCCACGGGAGCCATTTGAAGGAAAGATTCCTTCGATACCTTCAATCCCAATTTCTTATGTTGACACATTGCCAATTCTTAAAGCCCTGAACGGCCATGGTCCATCCGCAAAGGATTTCAACAAGTATTGGCAGCGGAATTTGGGATTGGAGCACATGGGTGTGAAGTATCACGTTGGACCTTCTCCGGATAGTCTGGTTCTAAACCTAGTAAATGTGCAGGAATATGTTACTACTCCCCTTTGGAATGTAATTGGTACAATTAACGGAACCCTGTCTGACGAAGTCATTGTGATTGGAAATCATCGTGATGCTTGGATAGCTGGAGGCGCTGGAGAGTAAGTTCTTGGACCCTTATTCCATTTATTCTCTATTTTTCCTTTTCACACAACGGAATGTCATATGAAATCTTCAAAACTTGCGAGCTGACTTTTTCTCTAGCCCAAACAGCGGTTCTGCTGCACTCAACGAGGTTATCCGTTCTTTTGGTGTTGCTGTCTCAAAGGGATGGAAACCTCTACGCACTATTGTATTTGCTTCTTGGGATGGTGAGGAGTATGGCCTTATTGGATCCACTGAATGGGTTGAGGAATACCTACCATGGTTGCGTCATGCGAATGTTGCTTATGTCAACGTTGATGTAGCTACCACTGGCCCTGTTTTCAAAGCCGCCGCAAGCCCTTTGTTGAATAAGCTCATTTACGGCGTTGCTGATTTGATTCAATCTCCAAATCAAACAATTCCTGGACAAACAGTTGGAGATTTGTGGGACAAGAAGATCAGCACTATGGGGAGTGGAAGTGACTTCACAGCATTTCAAGATTTCGCAGGAATCCCTTCGATCGATATGGGCTTTACAACTGATCCTGGAGCACCCGTATACCAATATCACTCCAACTACGACTCCTTCTACTGGATGAATACCTATGGAGGTTTGTTACCATTTGTCCACTTCTGTTTGCTCCACACTAACAGTTTTAGATCCTGGGTTTCATTACCATGCTACTATGGCCAAATTGTGGGCGGTTTTTACTGCCAAGCTTTCAGAGGCACCCGTCATTCCACTCAATGCCACTGATTATGCTATTGCAATTGACGGCTACATTTCGAAAGTAGAGTCTAAGCTAGAGGTTTTGGTGACTGGGCAGTCAACGGAGGAGGATGAGATGGAAGCCCGTGAACGTCCAACTCCTGGCGCACCCAAGGGAGACGTGCAAGAACTCCAGCTCTCATTTGCAAAACTACACAAGGCGGCACACAAGCTGAAGAAGGCAGCGGAAGCTCATGGTAAGTCATTCCCCTCACATAATAACCATACTCATAATTCACGTACGATGCTAAAAAATAACCTCCCATAGACTCATGGGCCTCCCAACTCGCCTCAGAAGCCGGCGTCGACCTCCCATGGTGGAAATGGGTCTCGAAGCTCAAACTCATCATCCGCATCCGTCGAGTCAACGACAAATACAAATACCTCGAGCGACAATTCGTCCACGAGGACGGACTCGAAGGCCGATCCTGGTTCAAACATGTCATTTTTGCCCCAGGGCTATGGACAGGCTATGCAGGCGCTGTGTTCCCGGGGTTGGTGGAGGCGATTGACGATAGAGATTTTGAGAAGGCGGGGAAGTGGGTAGAAATCATTGAAGGGAAGATTTCGGCGGCTTATAGTAGTTTGAAGTAGATTTACTTGCTTCTTTTGATTGCTGGATTGTTTGAATTGTGGTGCTTCTTTGGAGTGCGCAGCGTTTCTTCTTGGCGTTGGGTGTGGATGTGGGTTATAGTGATGAGAAATAAATCTGCGTTTTCTGTCCCCCCATCTAGAGAATATTTCTCCCGTGCTCCGGGATGGGTTAATGAAATTGTTATATGGAAGATATCTGGTCGTTACTTTATATCTGTATGCAATGTATAAGTTATAAAATGTTGTTGTATTAACCTTGTAGTACGAGGAAGATGATTATACTGTAGTAGTATACCTAGGTAAATGAAAAGTAATTTGTAAGGATTTTTCTAAAGACTTAATTTAATGTAAGTGTTTGAGTTGTGTGAGGCTTTTGGGATGGTTTTGTGATAAGAGGGGTGTGGGATGTGTGTAGAGTAATGACTACGTTGATTAGTTGATGTGTGGTACTGTGAAGTTCATAGACTTATAAGTTCCACCCTCAAGACTTCAAGGTGGCTTTCGTATAACTATATAATATCGATTATCGGCACACGTGTCGTGGAAAAACGGTAAATCCGGCTATAGACTAATCTGCTTTGATCTTAGCAGCTCTTAAAGCTACTACTACCAACACAACAGCTATTATTACGAAAACGTTATAAACTTAATCAAAAATTCCATCACTTAATTCCACACAGGTCCTGTTCTCCTATGAAGAAAGTGTTCGTAGTAGCTTAATAGTATATTTACAGTATTAGGAATGTGAAACCCCGGTTTAGGTAAGTAGTCCTTGGATACATTAATTATCTTTACATTTCTGACTCCCTTTTAGAATAAAGATTATAAAGTAATATGTCACGTACTGGGTATGGGTGGTCGGTCACGTGCTTCATGGCCACGTGACCCACTCCATTTCCCACTTATATAGCAGAGTTTTCTCGTCTAATTCCAGGCTCCTTAGAGCGTTTTCAACCTACTTTAACAGACCATTTGTGCGCGATATAATATAAACAAAGAACTCATTAGTACCTTACGTACTTTTCTTTTCTTTTAGTAACTCTTATATTTAGTTTTATTTATAAATCTCTTGGGTTTTTATACTATTCCGGTACTATAAATTAGTCGAAAGTGTTATATTTCTATAGTCTCTCTAAGTCCAGATGATCCTTCTTTATTACCCTCGCCCCTATGGTGTTTATTTCATAATGCCTTTACAGTTTTACTTTGTAGAGTCCTACCTCTAATGTTACTTCTATAATGCCTTCGTGGTTTCATGACTTCTCTACAGTGTTTATTCCACAAGGTCGATCCATTTTCCTGTGGGGGGGAGAGTGGGATATCACGCTTGTTCTGATGTTCTCAACTCAAACATAAGGGCTTGTTCATGTCACTTAGATTTCAAGGAGCAGTAAAAACAAAATAAAAACGATTTCTTTCAAGGCAAAGTACCAATTTGATTGCATGAAGCTAGCGGGTATCTCTAATTTACACAGTTCCATCCATTTCATTCTTCGTAGTCTAGTCCGAAAATTCCAGCCGGCATCCAGAACAGGTAGCTACTCTCATGTCGAAACATATCATGGCCAGCAGGAATCCGGATCTCGCACTCTTCTTGTGTGATCTTGCGATACGTTCTGACATACCCAGGCGGATTGCGAGGAGTTCCTGGAGGGAGTCTAGCAGGCTGTCCTGGCCGCCAACTATTAGGATCGCTAATAATACCTCTAGCCTTCGCATTTTCCTCCACAGTTTCTACACGATGCCTATTAAGCTGGCTGATAACACCTCTAACCTCCGAATTTTCCTCCACAGTGGCTACACGACGCCTCTTGTTTCCTATCGAACTCTCTTCCATGGCATCGTTCTTGGGATTTTGAGGGGCGGCTACCTTTCTGTTGGCAGATTCGGCTTTCTCAAGCTTCTCTCGCAGCAGAGTTTGGGCTTTGTCTGCGGCGGTAAGTTGTTCTTGGAGTGATGTGATGGTTTGAGTGAGATGTCGGATGTTCTCTTGTTGTTTACCAAGTATACCCTTATATTCATCGTTCTGGTGTTGTAGATCCCGCATAGAAGGTATTCTCGGAACGTTTGGCGTCATTTCTGAAATCTTCGAAGTGATGACAGATTCCCCATTGCCATTTTGCGTCTGAGAAGTTTCCTTGGGCTGGGTCGGTTGTCCTCCAGAATGCTCTTCCTCAGAATCCCCAAAGTTACCTTCCAGGAGAAGTTTGATTTCCGCATCGACCTCCTTCATGAACTGCGCATTCTCATAGGCCAAAACAGCGCGGATCGACTCTTTATCGTCACTCGCCGCCGATAATTGGAAGCTGACTCCACTGATCATGACTGACGCGCCATCGTACCGTCTTTTGTAAATGCGCTGCAGATGATGTGAGGGGCATCGGATGATGACAAGGTCTTTCGTGGAAATGATGTGGCAGTGAAAGATCTGGGGTTGGGTTTTCAACTGTGATGAAAGGGCTGTGTATGCTTTGGCCAGGTTTGGGATGTCATCGGGAAGTGTGAGGTTTTTCGCTTTGTGAAATTGGACCTTGACAGGAAACCACCATTCTTCTGCCTTTTTTACTGCTAGAGCGTATAATTTCACTGATTGGCCGACAACGTTGAAGCTTTCTGAAAGGAATGATTTCTGGTAACAGTCTCGCGCGGTTTCGGAGGGACATCGCAAAACGAGTACATTGCTCACTCGATGAATGTTGCAGTCTGATGCTGCAGAATGTAGTTGGTCGGCGAGTTCTTGGAAGGCTTGCGCGGATTCTTGATTATTTTTTTCGAGCTTTTTGGAGAGTCTCTTGGTGAATTGCACAACCAACTCGAATGTGGGAGCTGCAGTGAGATCCATTGTTGCAGATCGCGATCAGAGGGATTCACTATGTACCCGCGCGTTAGGCAAATTCAATCTGGGGGTGTCTGGAAGCAGAGGTATCTTACCGTTGTGTGGAGGACTTGATGGTTGTTGAAAGAAAAAAGAGTCCTCGAGGTGGGAGAGGACCTGTATTTATGTTGTGGTCGCTTAGAAGCTCTGACCAATTGCGGTTGAAGGTGAATTGGATTTGAGCAAATTTTTATAGATGATCACTTCCGAAAATGGATAAGCGGTAGATATCTTATCTTTCTGGGAGTTTCAGCCACATTTGATTGGTATTCATTATCGGCTGATTGCGGAAGGGTGTTGGAAAGGTGAAGGAAACCTTTTGCGATTCACTACGGCGGAGTTCAAAGGTCTCAGAGATTTTTGAGTAATTTGCTAAGGAATAGGGTTTTACGACTTGCTTAATTGCTTTCTTGGTATTAAGCTTGTGATCATACTATTGATTTGTTTTTACGTGTTATCTTAAGTAATATAAAGAACTTGATCTTTTTTCAAAATATAATTACTATATTAAATATTTCTTCTAGTAATACTTTTTCTTAAAGATAGATAGCCTCTTTCTATTTATCTAAAAGAATAGAGTAATATTATAATATTTTAATTCTTATAAGTTAGATATAAAATAAATATCTTAAATATTTCTTCTATTTACTTTTTCTTAGAGATAGGTAGCCTCTTCTCTAAAAGAAGAATCGAGTAATATTATAATATTTTAATACTTATATATAGTAGTTATATAATTCTCTAATTCCTTAAATAAAAGTTAAGTTTTTAAAAAGTTTAACTCTTCTAATATTCTAAAATCTTAAGTAATAAAAGACTACTAAAACCTTTACGTTATATAACTATTTATAATAATAATCGTTTATATAAGAATATTATAGACTAGTGAATAAAAACTATTTAGTAAATAGTAATAATATCCCTTCTTTATAATAAAGGAGTTAAAAAAACGTATACTAAGTATAGTAAAAGTATTTACTTTAATTATATTTTCTTTATAGAAATAGGTTATTTAGCTAACTGTAACGAATACTCAAACTGGCTAACTAAACTTGGCTGGGTGTTCGCTGGTTGGTATGCTATGATAAGAAGAAGAATATCGGGTTGTTCACTTGGAAGTGAACTCGTTACTTGTATCAAAGATGTCAAACTAATATGATAAGATTGATAACTAAGTTGAGCACGAAGCTCCTATGTAGTGGCAGAAGTGCCAGTCTTATATAGAACCTTCGTCTCTCCTGGAGCTTGAAGGGAGCCCAAGATCCTCAAGCTCCAACCGAAGCTCCTGCAGGCTCCAATGGTCATGTGACCATATCACGTGATACTATCCAAGTGAAATCCCTGGATCGCTTAGCTAGCCCAACCGATTCCATTTGCTATAAGAGTATTCAATAATGCTTGACCTGTCAGGACGCCGCCTGGTCTTCACTTGTTACGTGCAAACACGTGATTCGTGACAAAAAGGTAGCTATCTAAGGTGTTTATATAAAGAGTGTAAGGTTTTGTGACGACACGTACGCAAAGCCCACGGTGTAGGTTGTGGAATCGTAGAACTGTCAATTAAACAAAGATTCTAAGCTGAGGAGAAGAGGAGAGCTCGAGAGAGCTTCGATCTAAATACTTGGTGTGGGTCGCTAAGCGAGACCACGTGATCCGAATGGTGGTGACGGTTAGAACCGTCACAGGTTTAGGCAGACATGAAGCATTTAGGCAGCAGAACTATAAGTGGAGCTAATTATATTATAGTAAATACTCTTTCTTTTATTTATTAATTAATCTAATATAATTATAGAAATACCTAGAAGTAAAATAGTAGAAGAAGAAGAGTTTTCCTTATTGTTATACCCTTACTAAGCTTAATAAAAAAAAGGTTACTAGTAGTAAATATAGATATATATAAGGATACCTTAATATTAATTATTAAGATTTAGAGAACTTAGATAATTCTATTAATTCTATTAATTCTAATACTATAGATCCTAAAACTATAAATAATTCTATACTTAAATAAGCGAGTTTTATAGTTGATCCTATACTTATTTATATAGAGAATATTAGTGACTCTATTACTATAGAATAAATATAATAATTAAATACTAAAGTAGATATATATAAGGTTTACTATAGTAGTAAGAATAGTAGGGCCCGAAAGTAAAAGAAGCTTAAAAAGTTAAGTAAAGATAAAAGATTAAAGAATAAAAAACTATAGTTAAATATATAATACAAGACTATCTAATTAATAAATACTTCTAAATCCTAGAAGGTAAATAAGTATAGTTTATTAAAAGATTTACTATTAAGTAAATAATTAAAACCTTTAAGATCTAAGAGTCTTAATAATATAAGTTAGAGTATCAATTAAATAGTAAGGGCTATAGAAAGACTATTCGAGGATTAATTAGAAGATATATATAATAAGACCTTATATAAATAAGCGCTCTTAAAGGTATAGAATAAGCTATTTTTAACTAATCTCGCTACAATTACTATTATAAAAGTTCTTTAAGTACTAGAGTTTATAATAGAACATCTAATAATAAAAGAACGTAATAAGAACTTATAAAAGACCTAGATTATATTAATACTTTAGAAGTATAGGTATAATAATCCTCTTAAATGATATATTATAATACTAGTAGAAGAACTAGAAATAGATTTAAATAAGCCTTAGTATAGATTTTAAAGAATAGATATTTTATTTATTTTATTTTTATACTTAATTAATAATAATAATTCTACTATTCTATAAAGCTTAGCTATAAGTTACTATTATTAATAATTAAGCTATTACTAATCGTAAATTTTATATTCTACTTTATTATAATAATATTAATAAATAAACTTAACTTTCAATATTAGGAATTAATATTTACATTTAACTAGTTATATAATAAGTATATTTTAAGATAAATTACTATTTCTAAAACTAAATCTTTTCTTATACCATAGTATAACTAGAATATAAGTACCGTTAATTACTCCGAGATAGTTTTTAAACTAAGGATAATTCTTTAGATTTATTTATATTATAAAGGGTATTTAAGTCAGATCTAAATAAGTAATTAATAACTTATAAACTCCGTTTAAGAGTAATATACCTATAATTTTATAATAAGTACGCTAAATTATCTTAGTACTCTTAGTTAAAGTAAGCGATTATTTAATTAGTGTTACGGAGTTGGAGGGACTGGGGTCTGGTCACGTGTAGCACGGCACGTGCGTGCCGCTGGCATCCTGTATTTAAGCTTCCTTTCCTCTGGAACTCTTTTCTCTCCTCCTCACTTAGTTGTTCGCTCAATACAGCAGTTTCCGTTTGACTCCGTATTCATCACAGCAAGCAGTGGTTCACTCCACACGGTTACAACTTTTATAATAACCTGTTGTGCTGGGTCTACTTTCCCTTTTGCTCCACTTCCTTATTTGATCCACTTATAGTTCTACTGCCTAAATGCTTCATGTCTGCCTAAACCTTACACTCTTTATATAAACACCTTAGATAGCTACCTTTTACAATGCAATCAATTCTCCATGACCTTCAGTACCCAATACCCTTTCAACCCAATATAATGTAACGAATACTCAAACTGGCTAACTAAACTTGGCTGGGTGTTCGCTGGTTGGTATGCTAGGATAAGAAGACTATCGGGTTGTTCACTTGGAAGTGAACTCGTTACTTGTATCAAAGATGTCAAACTAATATGATAAAATTGATAACTAAGTTGAGCACGAAGCTCCTATCTAATTGCAGACGTGCCAGTCTTATATAGATCCTTCGTTCTCCTTAAGTCACAAAGTCGACAACGACTTTGTCGCCCTGCATATATTGAACTCGTTACTTGTATCAAAGATGTCAAACTAATATGATAAAATTGATAACTAAGTTGAGCACGAAGCTCCTATCTAATTGCAGACGTGCCAGTCTTATATAGATCCTTCGTTCTCCTTAAGTCACAAAGTCGACAACGACTTTGTCGCCCTGCATATATCACGTGACCCTCTACATGTGAAATCCTTGGATCGCTTAGCTACTCTAAGCATCCCTATTTGCTATAACTATCCTGATGTGCCTGTCCTGTCGGAACGCCGTCTGGACTAACTCATCACATGACGCGGGGCATGCCCTTTAACACGTGATTCGTGATATCTTCCCTTTATCCTTTAAGCCTAACTTTTTAGGCTTCTTTTACGCGCTTATATAAGTCTCACTATCTTTACTACTATAGTATTCCTAGTATAATATAATTTTAGCCTAAAGTCATTATTTTTATACTATAGTTATAGAGGAACCTACGTTATTCTAATATAAGAGAGTAGAATTAACCTTAAATCTAGCTTATTTAAGAACTAAATTATTTTATATATCTAATTCTATAATATTAGAGTTACTAGCGTAGAAGTTGTTACTAGACTTCGTACTATTAGAATTATTATTATTTACTCTTTAAGAATAGCTATATTTACTACTAGTAAGCTTATCTTAATTAAGCTTAACTATAGTATTATAATAAAAAAAACTCTTCTTCTTCTATAGTTTCGCTTCTAGGTATTTCTATATATAAATTAGCCTGATTAGTAAAGAAAAGGAATAGTACTTTACTATAATATAATTAGTTTAGATAGCTGGTTTTATAGTTATAATAAAGTAATTATCATTCTAACTAAAACTAGAATTCTTATAAATATTACTTTAAAATCCTTTTATAAGCTACTATATTTAAACTAATAAGTATATTCTAGATTCTTTCTAGAAAGTTACTCTTACTTACTTTACTATCTTCTCGTTTCTCTTATATAAAGTCTAGGAGTATAAAAATATCTTCTTCTGTGACGGAGCTGGATTTCATTTGACAGGATTTAATTCGCTTGGCCAAGCACGTGACGAGACTTGGCATTGGAACAACTTAAATAACTTCGCTCCTTTCAGATTCTCTTCTCTCTTTATTTTTTTTTCTTCGTACCTACGGTTT